CTTCAAGAGTTTCCACCAAAAAATATACTGGAGAATGGAAGAACATTTAGGCAAGCTTTCTACTTGCTTGGGACCTTCATTACAGCACAGCCAATCCTAATCTAAGGAACAACTTTTATGGTGTGGAATTCTACAATCTGGCTCAGCTGGCCAGGCAAATGGGATTCACCCAACTCATTCCCTTACTGCCATATAAATCTCAGAATAGGTACTTCGATTAAAGAGTGAGGATCACAAATGTTGCCAAATTTGCTGTGATTGATAAAGCTTATGAAGTGGAAATGTTGGCTTTCAACTTTCAAGGCCATACTAGCAAGCCTCAGTCTTCTAATGAGTTTACTATATAGTGGACGACCTACATTTCTTCCACTCGGACAAAGAACAATAAGGCCATTTATGACACTATTATAGCTTCCTTCAAACCCTTGTCTTCAAGTATAAATATGCTTCATTCCAAAAATTTCTCTTTCCTTTTATATTGCTGTTAACTTTCCATATTCTAAAATTTGAAATGTTGAATTCCAGATGGAGAAGAAGAAATTTCTGAGGAAAGTGATGATGATGAGGGTCGAGAAAAAACTGTTATCTTACCCAGCAAGGTTGAGGGTATGGCTAAAAGTGCTGATGTGAGTCATGAAAGTATTTCCTTTAGTGATGATGAAGAAAAAGAAGTTGAAGAGGAAGAAGAAGAAAATGATGTTTTGTACAAAGCAAAAGGAAAAGAAAAGATCTCTCAGGTATTTCCAAAATAGACTTAACTTTTCCAATTTCTGGATTCTCTAATATCTTTTTTTGTAGGGACTGGCTATTGTGAAGAAAGAATTTTAACCCCAACTTTCTTCCTCTGACGAAGACTCTTCTGATGATGATGGCATTTCCAAAGGACAAACTCATACTCAGTATTCCAGCAAAAAACTCACCAAATAGAGTCCCTCTGGAAAAGTTGCTGGAAAGGCAAAAAGGAAAATTGACTTGGAAAAACCCGAGGATTTCCAACAGCCCAAAGACTCTCCAAAAATGAAAAAGTTAAAACCAAGGAGATTGTTTTGGTAAGCCTCATTCGCTATCTTCTTCACCCTTTTAATTTCTTGAAGTATCCATAATTTCCTTTTATACTCATCTTGTAGCAAGTTGCCCATAGAGAGGACTTAAACCTTTAGGCCTCTATTATGGAAAGTCTAGCTGACCAAAGTAGAAAAAATCTACCCATTCCAACTCCCACTATTGGAACATCCATTCCTTCTGGTACTGGTGGAACTTCTACTGGCCATCCTCCTTCCATCCCAGAGGCAAGTCTTTATACTTTTAAACTTTGCCTCCTTTCTTACTTCTTGTGTAATAAACAAAACTTTTCTTTTGTTCAGGCTACTCCTCTTTGTCCATATTAACATCTTTCACGATGCATAGATGAGCTCTTCTAGCGTTGGCTGATCTATACAAAGTGATCAAAGCTACTCAATTTTCAAGTACCTTAACTTCAAGTGCCAATGTACTTATACTTCCAGATCCTTCGGAAGATCCTCTCACAACAACTAAAAGAAAGTTGTTGTCCTATCTTGCTCATGATGTGGAAAAAATTGTGACCTTCCATCAAAACTTGGCCAATACCATAGTCACACTGATGAAACACCCTGGATTTCCTGATTACATTCGAACTGCCTTGACCAAATTGTAGCATAACTTCAGTTTCTTGTTTCCCATATGAATTCCAGTTCTTTTACTCTCTCAGAATATTAAAGAAAGGCTAAACTTAGGGACAAAGCCTTTGAAATTTTTCATCTCACTTTAGCACCCTACCCAGAGGTCAAGGCACGGCTGAGGAACTTATAACCAAGAAAAACACATTGACTGAGGAGCTAAGCAAAATTGAGAAAGAACTAGAACAAGTAGAACGTGATGAGCTTAAATTGGACCAAACAGCTAGTGCCATTCTTGCTAAATCTGAGCCTCATAGGAAAGAATGGGAAAGTCTAGTAAACAAACTTCCCCAACTTGAAGAAATAAAGACCAAGGCACTGGCTACTCTTGAAGAAGCAAGGAAAATTTAGATGGCAATTGGAGGTGTCCTTGCTGCCATTTGATGTGGTTCTCTTATGGTATTTTAAGTGGTGGCTTTGTAGTGAATAAGTAAATTACTCTTAGAATCTTTTATATGGCTAGCTTTTAGAGTTAGCAACCATTTTTGGAACATGTAGTGAAGTCATATATCTAATGAGAATGGTGGTTATTTCTCAATCCCTTTTGTTTGTGCCTTTTGCATGGAAAATTTCTAAATCATTAAAACTGGAAAAAATTTCTTCCCATATATTAACAAAGAGGCTTAGTCATAAAATGACTTTCTAAAACAAAAGAATTCAGAAAAAACAAAAGAGCTTGCTAACATGGAAAAGTATGTATATACAGCAATATCAGTTATTTCCAAGATAAATAAAACCTGGACCATGTAGTTGATAAGCGCCGAATATTATATATTCAAGCGCCCTAAATTGCATTAGTAAAGTCCGTTGTATGTTAATTTATATAGATTATCTTCATTTCTATGTTTTTATGCATTTTCAGGTCCATTTGCCAAAAAAGGAGCAAAATCAAGGCTTTGTGGAGTTTTGGCCATCAAAAGGCACAATTCTGAATTTCTGGCAGCAGTGGAGTCAGGACTTTGCTCACCATTTTGACCTTGCAAACTCGAGAACTGGACTTCCATTATAAAATGGCATATTTAGACCTATGAATCAGCTTTCCAAATCTTCAAGAAGTTCGTCATTCGGAGCTCGGACCAGAGAGTTATGGCCTTGTTACCAGAGGTGCGCAGAACTGCCTGGCAGCAATGAAATTCTGCCTTGATCTTCATTTTCGACCAATCATCCTTGAGAATTGGATCTCCACCAAAACATGAAGTTTTTAGAGCTCTGAATTAGCTTTCCAAATCTTCAAACGGTTCATCATTTGGAGTTTAGAGTACAAAGTTATGGCCGTTTTACCAAAGTAGGTCCGGGATGAGCAAACCAAGCATAGGGCATTCTGGCCAATTTTCGAGTGCTCGAGGCCTAATTTCGAGTGCTCGAAATAGGGCAGATTGCTTCACGAGATCAGCAGTGGAGTTAGGACTTTGCTCGCCATTTTGACCCAGAAAGCTCGAGAACTGGACTTCCATCATAACATGAAAGATTTAGAACTCTGAATTAGCTTTCTAAATCTTCAAACGGTTCATCATTCGGAGCTCGGAGCAGAGAGTTATGGCCTTGTTACCAGAGGTGCGCAGAACTGCCTGGCAGCACTGAAGTACTGCCTTTCTCCCCATTTTCGACCAACCAGACTTGAGATTTGGGTCTTCATCAAAACATGAAGTTTTTAAAGCTCTGAATCAGCTCTCCAAATCTTTAAACGGTTTGTCATTCGGAGTTCGGAGCGCAAAGTTATGGCTGTTTAACCAAAGTAGGTCTGGGCGGAGCAAGTGAAGCATGGGCATTTTTACACTAAATTCGAGCGCTCGAGGCCTTGCTTAGAGTGCTCGAATTTGGGGCAGAATTGCCTTCGGGAATTCTCATTTTGGCAGCCACTTGTGCATTGGTTTCCTCATTTTCTACTTACTTCTTTATGAGGTGGTTGGGGATGTTTTTTTGGAGGAGAGAGAGAGCTTTGTTGAAGGAGATAAGGCAAGGAAGGCCACACATATCATTATCCCATATTCTACAAGATTAGAGGAGAGAGAAGAGAGCAAAGGAAGGTGTTCTTGGAGCTAGAAGAGGGGAACTCGAAAATGGAGGTCAAGGCTTTGCTTCCTCCTTCCTCTAGTGCATCAATGGGTAACTAAACCTCCATCTAGGGAGGTGATGAAGCCTCCCCTTTTGCTTATGTTCTAGATTAGGATCTATTTTGGGGATTAAGATGTATCATTTTTGGTCTTTTCATAATCTAGAGCATATTACTTCTTGTAATGAATTCTAATGTTTATAAATGATTGTTGTAAGTGATTTATCTTGTCTTAGATGGTTTCTTGTAGTAATCATAATGCTTGCTTCTTCATGGTGACAATGGAGATAGGATTATGAATAGCTTTCAAGGCATGTTGATAGAGAAAATGGATAGTCCATTGCTTAGGAACTTCCTTTGATGGGTTATGCTAGTTTCCTACCTCATGTGCTTTATCATTTGATTACAAACTTGATAGTTCTTGCTTGAGTGAGTATGTTGAAGGCTACACTTTAGTTTAGGTAGCTCAAATGTATTAATTTTTGAGGGATTATTCTTGTTTAATGATTTAATGAACTTCTCTAAGGGTATATGGTAATCTAGTGTTGCTATATATTCCGTGACCATTTTATACATTGTACTTCCCCAATTTAGCCTTAATCTAGCATGTACTTAGGGTGTAGTGTGGATTCATCTCCCTAGTCTTTTCTACTTGTATCTCACTCCTTTAATTTCCTTGCAATTTATTGTTTTATACACTTCAATTACTACCTTAGTGACAAACCAATCAAACAACTCCTTATTACACCTTATCATTCTTAAATAACTCTAGATACTTAGGTTGCCTTAAGACTAGCGCAGTCCCAGTGGTTCGACTTACCCGACCAATAGCCCTATTTTACAATGATTCGTGCTATTGCGAAGGTTGATGTTAATTGACCAACCGATCAGTAGTGCAACCTCTTTCTCAATGAAAAGTTCCATACTTGGAAAATCATCTGTTTTTGGAAATATAACTAAATATTCTTTAAGACTCTAGCCAATGTACCCTTTCAAGTACTTAACTTTTCTTCTTTGAGATGTATCCTTCATACACTCTGACTTAGCTATGAAGAAAAAGATGGCCAAAGTATGGCTATTACGCTTCTTTTCCAGGTTTCTGGTTTACTTAGAAAGGAAGGTATTGGCCAAACTATATGGCTGCTAGCATGATTGTGGATTTCCAATTTTCATAGATGGAAGGATGATACTCTTTCAAGTATACCCCATTCACATGATGCTTATGGGATCTTCCATCTATGTCCATTAATCTATAAGCCCTTTTTTCCAGGGACTCGTTCCACCAAGTAAGGACCCTTCCAATTAGGGGTCCACTTTCTATATTCCTTATTTTTAACTCCTGGTGGAAATCTGACTTGCCATACCAGGTCTCCTTTAACAAATGTGTTTGCCTTAACCTTCTTGTTGTATGCCCGCATGACTTTCCTCTTTTGAGCAATAATATGGTCTAAGGCATTAAGACGAACTTCGTCAAGGTCTTCTAATTCTACCAACATGGCATGGTCATAATCTGCTGGAGTAAGCTTATTTTGGAAAGCCACCCTTGCAGACCTTATGGTCATTTCTATTAGAGGAACGACATTATGTCCATATGTAAGCATATATGGTGTGACTCCAGTATTTGATCTTTTTGAATTTCTGTAAGCCTAAAAGCCTTAGAAAGTAGGTGATGCCATTCTCTTGGATGATTCTCAATCATCTTTTCAAGGATATTGAGAATTACCTTATTGGAAGCTTTAGCCTGTCCATTTGATTGGGCAAGATATGGAATGGAACTGATCACTTGGACGCCACACTCAGCACAATAATCAAGAACTTTGTTTCCAACAAAGGAAAGTCATCTGTTAGTGGTGATAGTCTCTGGAATTCTAAACCTATGAATAATGTGTTTCTTGATAAAATCAATCATTGTTGGCTGCTCACAGGTCTTTAATGGAATAGCCTCTGCCCATTTTGTAAAGTAATCTGTTGCTACCATAATATAAGTATGGCCATCTGCAGATGATGGTGTTAACTTTCCAATAAAGTCCAAAGCCCACCTTCTGAATGGCCATATTTTTACTACCGGCTGCATGTTGATTGCTGGAACTCTTTGGACCGGGCCATGCTCCTGACATGCAGTACAAGTCTTTACAAACTCTATTTAATCTTTCAGTATGCCTTTCCAATAATAACGGTACCTTCTCAAAAGCTACCTCATTTTGATCCCAACTTGATGTGCTCCATATATTCCAAGGTATAATTCTGCCATCACTCTCATGGACTTATTCCTGCCTAGACATCTTAGCAAAAGTCCATCTTCTTTATTTTTTCTGTAGAGATCTTTATCAATCAAAATATAATAAGGTGCCAAAAGCTGAATTCTTTTGTCCACATTGGCACTAGGCTCCTGCAAGAAATAGATAATTAGTGTTCTCCAATCTTCTAAGTCTAATCCATCTATATCAATATTGAAAATCTCCCATGTCTTCTTAGCAAGTTTGATTCTTTCCGGCTCGTCAGCTTGGAAATGACCTGCCATCTCATGCCGTGACTCTACAGAAGGGAGAGTCTTTCTTCTGATTGTGATCAAGGTCTCTTCTACACCCAGTGGGACTTTCACTCGAGATGCTAGTTATGCTAGATCATCAACCTCCGAGTTTAAATATCATAGCCAATATTTGAGTTGGAAATCATCAAACTAGCAAAGTAATTCCAAGGCAAAAGAGTGGAAAGGCCTCAAATATATACCAGTTGAGACATCTATATTCTTCAGAAAGTTGGCTGAGTATCAAGTTGGAATCTCCAATAATCTGGACCTTTTCCACCTTTAACTCTAGTAGGATTTCCAGTCTAATAATTAATGCCTCATACTTAGCTTGGTTATTTGTACAGTTAAAATCTAAGAAGAAAGAAAATGTGGTTTTTCTTCCCTTTAGTGAAATAATGACTATTCCAACTCCTCTTCCATCATGAGTGCTTGATCCATCAAACATGAGAGTCCAAGGTATATAGTCAAGATAGAGATTATCCGCCTTGTCACATACTTCTGAATCAATCTTAGTGAAAGGATGATCTACTAGAAATTCTACCACTACCTTTCCTTTGACTGCCTTTTACGGAATATACTTGAAAGAAAACTTCATTAAGGCCAATGACCACTTTCCAATGCGTCTAGTGATCAAAGGCCTCGTAAGCATATACTTAATCAAATCTGTTTGAGAAATGATATACACAGCCACGGGCAACATATAGGTTCTCAACTTCATAGCCGCATAATATAAGGAAAGGCACAACTTTTCAATAGAAGTGTACATACATTCCACTAAAGTAAGCACCCTACTTAAATAATAGATGACTTGCTCCTTTCCCCATTCATTGTTCTGAGCTAGAAGTGTTCCAATTGATTCATCAGCGGCCAATAAGTATAATCTTAAAGGCCGCTTCTTGATTGGAGGCATCATCACTGGAGGGTTGGCCATGTAGCTTTTCAAACCTCAAAAGCTTGCTGGTGCTGATTCGTCCAGTTGAATTCTTCAGCACCTTTCAATTTTAGCAATGGGGAGAAAACATGAGTCTTTCCAACATGATTGGCAATGAATCTCCTTAAATATTCAACCTGGCCAAGAAATCTTTGTAATTCTTTCTTAGTGGCCAGTGGCTTTGCTTCAATAATTACCTTTGCTTTATTTTGATCTATCTTAATACCTCTTTGGTAGACTAGGAAACCCAGGAAGTTTCTAGCTAAAACCCCAAAAGTACACTTTAAGGGATTCATCTTCAACTTATGCTGCCTCATTCTTTCAAAAGCCATCTTTAAATTATGAAGATGTTGAGCCTTGGCTGAGAATTTGATGACTACATCATCAATGTAGACTTTCAAGAAATGACCAATCATTTCATGGAAAATGGCATTCATGGCCCTTTGATATGTTGTTCCAGCATTCTTCAACCCAAATGGCATGATAACCCATTCAAAAGTTCCAATGGAACCTGGATATCTGAAGGTTGTCTTAGCAATATCTTCCTCTGTAATGTAAATCTGGTTATACCTAGAATGTCCATCCATGAATGAAAGAATTTCATATTTGGTAGTAGAATCTACTAAATGGTCAGCAACAGGCATGGGGTATTCATCTTTTGAAGTTGCAAGATTTATATTCCGAAAATCCATACATACCCTTAACTTGTCATTCTTCTTAATAACTAGAACTATGTTGGAAATCCAATCAACATACCTTACGGTTCTTATAAAACCAGCCTTGTATAGCCTTTCTATCTCTTCTTTGACCTTTAGAACAACTTTTTGGGACATCCTTCTTGGAGGCTGCTTGAAAGGCTTGAAACCTTCCTTGATTGGCAGCTTATGCTCTACCAGCTCTCTACAAAGTCTTGGCATTTCCTTATATGTCCATGCAAAGCAATCTTTGTATTCTTCAATTAAGGAAATCAATTCTTCTCTAAAGGTTAGTTCCAGAAGCTTATTGATGTAGGTAGGCCGAGGGTCTTACTCAGTTCCAAGATTAACTTCCAAAAGTGGATCTTGCACTTTAGCCTTAAGATCATCAAGCTTCATTGGTGCTACCTTCAAGTCTGTTAGCTGGATAGCATCCAACTTGTCTTCAGAATCTTCCATAATCTCCAAAACATTGGTAGAAAATGAGGTACTAGAAGTTGCAGTCCTTTCCAGCCGTAGTTTGGCTAGATATGCCATTAACTTGGCAAGACAGCAATTAATCGCCTGGCGAAGTATTCTATCTTCTTTAGGTTTCTCTGTCATAAAAACTTTGTTTGAAATGTAGTACTTAACACCGGTTTTGGGTAGAATTGTTGGCCTTGGTATTTCTTGGAAAAGCTCCCTTACATCCTCTTCCATAAGAGTTCTCCTCATGGTGGCCTTCCTTGGACGGCCCTTGCTATCCTTTCCAATAAATCTGATTAGAATGAATTATTCACTATATAACTCAGCATCTGCATGGTAGACCCTTTCCACAAATGGCCGGTTATTAGCGTCTACCACTTTTACCTCATTTCTATCCAAAAATATCAGCATTTGATGGAGTGAAGATGGAATGCAAAAGTGTGGGTGAATCCATTCACGGCCTAAAAGTAAATTATAGGCCGTTGTAGACTCAATAACAAAGAAAGCTGTGATGGAAGTTCTATCTCCCATCGTTAATTCTAACGGTAGAATGCCTTGTGTCTTCACTATTCTTCCTGTGAACCTACTAATGGATTCATCAGTTGGAATGATGTCTTCAAGCGACTTTCCAAGTATGCACGTGACATTGACTGGAATAACATTCAATACTGAACCATTATCCACCAGAACTCTTACTAGGGGACTGCCTTTTACCAGTACCTTGATATATAAAGGTTTAAACAACTAGTCATGCCATATGGTGGCTTTTCCAACACAATTTTCTTTTGTTTTGTGGGGCTATTTTCTTTAATCACAACTCCCTTTAATTTCTGGAGATGTTCAACTTCTTTTTTGAAAACTTCTTCTATATGGATACCATTATTCTGTTCCATTATGATTGGCCCAGAACTAGACTCTCCAGGGCTTTCCATAGGAGGACTTGTATCTATTACATCTTCTTCCATTGAATTTGGCTAATTTGGTCGTGGCTCAAAAAATAAGGGAAGAACCACTACCATATTGCAAGTAAATTCACCTGCAAGGCTCCCAAAATAGATTTTCTTGTTGCTGATGAAACTGTTGGAGATTTCCAAGTCTGTTCTATCTTTTGTAGGAGGGCCATCTGCAGTCAAGGAATTTCCAACTTCTGAGACCAAATCCAATAAATCATCAGGATCTTTAACTCCTCATTTAGCTGGAAGTTCTGATAAGTCTGATGGTTTAGCTATCTTCTTTGGCCAGTTAGACCAGCTATGGTCTTTCTCCCATAATTTCCTTCTATCAGCCCTCTTCCGTTGCTGCCTTCGCTTTTATGTGTGGGGTCATATATGAATCATCATGAATAGGGAACTTGGGATGATCAAGCCTCTTCCACCTGTCACTTTGCAAGATGGGAGCCTTAACTATTCTTGGTCGGAGACGCTCATTCCCCTTTCTAACCCATACTTTCAAGGTTAATTTTGGCCTGGAATGCCTATCACCTTCAAAACCTCTGTCTTGCTATCTGCCACTTTCATACTTTCTGCTAGGACGGAAACTTGCCTCATAAGGAACCCTATTCCTTTCCACGCTCATTGGAAGGAATTTTGGTTTCTTTATTACTGCCCTTCTTTCTATTTGGACTCGATTTTCCTTTTCTGGAATGGTCACATTAACTGAGTTTCCCACCTTTTGGAAGGTTAGCCGGTCATGGACCTTCCGTTTCTGACCTTGGTCACCATTGGAAAGGCTCTCTTTCTGTTTTTCTTTTGGAAAGTCTCTAGGATAACTTTCACTCTGAATTTTACACTTGGGGCAAAAACCCTACTGGATTAAGGCTATCTGAGCCTCATGGAGTTGCTTTTCTAACTCAGCCACTGTTTTCTCCATGGATGTTGCAGACTCTGGAATTTCCAGTTTTCCAATGAACCCTGAATCTGCCATGTTCGTCTTTTTCTTAGGGTGTTCCGAGGCAAGGGTAGTAACATTTGTGGCAACGACCTTGGGGAAATGATTTCATCAACACCCATGACTTTTTATTTTTTTTGGAAACTTCAACCTGCCATCTTCAATTGCCTTCTGCACAATATTGCAGAAAATAACACAACTGTTAGTGGAATGCCTTCACAAGTTGTGAAACTTGCAATAGTCTTTTTCGGCCATTTTAGAGGCCGTTGGCATTTTATGACCTGCTGTGAAGATCAGTTGCTTGTCAGTCATGAGTAAATCAAAAATTTACTTGGCTTTAGAAATGTCAAAAGAGTAACTTCTGGAAGGGTCTGCCCCCTTCTACTTAGAACCAGAGGTGGCCTGCAAGTTGGCCATGGCTAATTTTGGTTTTGCCAAAGCCTTACAAGTATAGGCCTTCTTTATGTTGAGCTTGGCTACATTTACTTCCAACTCCCCATCAGTTTTAGTGGTGTACACTTCATAATTAGGATCATGGTAGTAGATTCCCTTGGAGGAGCCCTTCCGGTTTTGCTCTTCGTGAAGGAGTTCTTCATACTTATCCACTCTGCCGGCCAAGTCAAATAAGTCATAAAATTGTACACCTTCAAACTTCTTATGAAGTTTAATTTTTAGGCCGTTCACAGCTATATTCATATATTCTTCTAGTAGCAAAGACAAATTACATTTGTACTTAGCCCTCCAGAATCTAGAAAGGAAGCTCATCACTGACTCCCATGTAGTTAATGAAGTCTAGAAAGGTTTGCCATGGACACTTCAGGCTTTGCTCTAGAGAACTGAGTATGGAATGAATCCTTAAATTGCTGCCAATTTTGGATGGAGTTGGCTGGCAAGTTGAAATACCACCTGAAAACATATCTAGGAAACAAGCATACTTTCAGCCACGGATTGGCTGCAGCTTTTCTACATTGGATAGTGAACCAACTGATATATTCCAAGATAGACTGTTCGCCCTCTCCATTGAACGTTGCAAACTCTGGAATTTTGAAATTCCTTGAAAATTTAACTTCATCAATGAACTCTAGATAGGGCTTTCTGTAAGTTGGCCTTCCACCCCATCGAGTTAGGCCAAATTCTTGTTGAAGGAATTTTGTAAATTGGCCTTTATCAAGCGCCATAGGCTGTGGAGGGTTGTTGCCTGGCCAACCTTGAGGTGGATTAGCCATTTGATGCCCCCCGCCCGCCATAAGCAAGGGGTTGGCATCTGCATAGTTATTCCTGCCACGGTTCCTTCCTCCTTGGTTAAGAAGTGACTCCCTTGAAAAAGGTTGCCCCCCAATTGCCATAGGAATGACCATGGGTGGCCTTGCTGGACCAGGTGCAGTTGGCTAAATGTTCATAGGTGGAATATTCTGTTGTGCTTGAGGGATGTGGTATGGCCATGGTTGGCCAAGCTGATCATGCCAAGTCTGTTATGGAAATGCCACAGGTAAAGGATTCTAAACTTGTTGGATTGTTGGCATGGGCGCCACTTGTGAAATAGTCATCTGTGCCACTAGAGCGAGTACAGATGCAACTGGAATGTAAGTCTGTGCCATTGGAAGGGACTACACCTGCTGCTGAGTCAGAGGGAATGGCCCTGCTTATTGTTGAAAGGAACTATCTTCAGCAAATATGGCCGGCCTGCTGGCTTGGAAGGCTGACTATTGAGACCCTTCAGAGTTGTTTGGTCGATGGGCCAAACCTTGAGTCAAGCCTCCAAGGGACCGTTCCAACATGGACTCAAACCTACGTGAGATTTGGTCCACCAGTTCTACTAGATTCTGCTCTTGAGAAAGGGCAGCTTTAGATTGGTCTTGAGCAACTCTGGCTAAGTCTTGAGCGACTTTGGCTTGGTCTTGCGCAAACCTATCTTGCTACATTGTCATCATGCGAATGTTGTCTATGATGGGT